ACGTTGGGCGTGGAGGCCACTGCTCATGGTGTAGCCCGTTTGGCAGGAAGGGAAAGTCTGGACAACGTCGCTGGACATGGCGACTGAGAAGATTTCCCTGCTGAGGATTATTTGCTCTTGAGTTTGTTGCATGAAGAGAAAATGGGAGCTGAATCATGGGCTCCCACCCCTTTCCCCCCTCACGGGGGCCACCCAGTAGGCAGGTGTATGATAAAAGCTCTTCAGTAAGTGGCTAATCCAGAATCTCACTTACCTAATCCTGCCCTTAAAGGGCGACGCCTATATGAGACAGACCCCACCCACCCATGCAGTCATGTGACTCACGTTGTACTGGAACAGGAAGATCCCACAGAAAAGGCTGAAGAGGTCGGCGGTGAGCAGTGACAGGTTGACCGAGGTGGCGCTGCTCACTTTCATCATCATGGGCATAAAGCTGTAGAGAGCATACATGCTCAGAGTGTAGGCAGCCAGCAGGAGGCCTGGTGAGAGACACCAGCGGTTAGTTCAGGGTCTCTGCGCTCATGATCAGGTCTACGTTGCAGAGGGGTCAGTTTGTCGCAGTCAAGGCGCTTCACACATCATGTGCACATATTACAAAGATTTAGACGTTTTTCTTGTCTCATGTGTTTTGTGTTATTTGAGTTTTTAAAGGAGAACTGACCAACTTGCCAGCTCCACTTGATGGTGGAAATCTCATAGTGCTCCAGGACAACCCTGCAGAAATGACAGAAAAGACTCGGAACAGATGAAATACGATGCTGAATGAGTTGACGTGGACGAGACAGATTTAAACTCACATCTGTGCAGTGCTGATGATGGTACCGAACAGGCCTACCATCCCCAGGAACTCCACTCGGCTCAGATTCTTCACGGTATACTCCTGAGACACGTTGGACACGGCGTACAGAGAAGCACTGAGCAGCACCAAACCATCTCCCAACAGGACATTGGAGGCTGCAGAAAGCAGAAACATGGCTGAGCTGCTTGCTTCCATCGGACAGAACAACACTTCCTATTGGACACATAAAACTCTGTTCTGCCAATCATTTATGCCCGAGTTGCAAAGGTTCTGACCCGAGCCCTGATCTCTTCCAGCCAACAGATCGGCCCCCACCATAGCCCCCACTCCAAAGAGACAGATGCAGACAGCAACGTAGTGGACCACTCTGTAACGTGTCTTCAGAATCCACCAGGACAGAACCATCAGGACCGGGATCACAAAGCAGTCCAAAAGCTGGAAGAAACCAAACAAAACAAAAAATCCACTCTTCTTCACAGGTTTGAGATTCAGCCACGCTGGAGGGCTTCCAGCCCAAAGGTCAAAGGTTCTGCTGGAGAGCAGAACTGATGGTTCAGTGCCACCAAGCAGTCCAGTAGAGCAGCCCAGACCATCACACTACCATCATGTCTCACTGTTGCTATGATACCAGGTGGAATGGGTCACACTCCTTCCAGAAAGCTCTACTTTGGGTTCCTCTGTGGCGTAAGCAGGCCATGGAAAGCAAAGTTTAAGACCCATGCTTTCGTTCTTTTTTAAACACAGAAACAGTTTTGTTTACCTGTTTGTAGCTACAGTTTCGCCGACGGCTGCCGGCTTCTTCAGGCTGATGCTGATGGTGGCGCGTCACTTCCTTCTCCGTTTATCTGCGGGCAGCAGAGGACGTTGTCGCCCTCTACTGCCCGCTCTCCCCTCTCCGACGATGCAGTCCCATGCGTGGTCCAGCGTGTAAACTCCGTCAAAGTTCAAAGAGAAATACGGACAACAAGGAACGAAGGACTTCCGCCGTTTGGAACGATTACACCAGAAACGCGCACGTCTAAGAAACCACCTTCGCTTCTGTTTAAGATGCCGGGATGAAAACATCACACCCACAAGCCTACAGCTGAAAACATCGATCCGGACCCAGACAGCACAAAATATAATAGAAAGAGCACAGAGAGCACTGCTCAAGGAGAGGATAAGGAACGTCATAACCAAACAGAGGCGTGTGGAGGACGAACTGGAAAGAGGACACCTGGACTTGAAAAGGAATTACAAACTTGATAAACAAATGGAGGAACTAACTAAAGGACACAAGATGGAAAAACAGGAAAAAGAGTTCATAAAAGTAAAAGAAAGACACATAAAGAAGTTAAACAGACTCATAAAAAAGAAAAAGAGGGGAGAAATACAAGATAACTCCACACCAAACTCATGGGTATGTAACATCTCACAATACAAACTAACAGAAGCAGAAGAGAGCATATTAAAGAAAGGTTTAAACTTTGCAGTCACACCAAAAGAAATACCATGTGATGAATTTATTGTAGCAACAGAACTAGCATGTCAACAGATCACAGATGAGGGAAAGAAAGCAGAACTCAGAAATAACGTAGTTGGGATATTAAAAAACAGCCAAATTCAACACAGCAATATTACAAAAGAAGAACAATCAGCCATGACAGCTTTATCCAAAAATGAACAGATAATTATTCTACCGGCAGATAAAGGAAGAACCACAGTAGTTATGGACAGAGAAAAATATAAACAACAGATGAAACAGATGCTAGAAGACAAAAATACATATGAAATACTTAAAAAAGATCCAACAGAAAACATTAAGAAAAACATGAAAAAATTACTGAAGCCACTGCACGAAAAAGGCAAAATAACAGAAAAAATGTACAAACACTGGATTCCCACAGCAAACATAACACCAAGAATATATGGAACACCAAAAATACATAAACAAAACACCACTTAGACCAGTAGTTGACAGCATAGGTACACCAACATACAACATGGCAAAAGATATCAGCAGAATCATCAGCCCGTTATTAGGAAATACAGACCAACACTGCAAAAATAGTGTAGAACTGGCAAAAGAACTAAAGGAAACTACAATAGAAGACAACGACATACTCATCTCACATGACGTCACATCTCTGTTCACAAACACACCAACCCAAAAAACCATAGACATAGTAGTTAACAGAATCAGACAGGACAAGACTTTACATAAAAGGACAAACCTCACAGCAGATGACATAGCACAACTGATAGCGCTGGTAGCTAACTCCACTTACTTCACATACGACGACACAATATACAAACAACTGGAAGGCTTCGCCATGGGTAACCCGTTATCAGCCACCCTGTGCCAGTTTTTCATGGAAGACCTGGAACAGAAAGCCATAGCCACCGCCCCCCCAAACTGCAAAATAAAACTATGGAAACGCTACGTAGACGACATACTGGAAATCATACCAAAAGGTCAAACAGAAACACTAACACAACACTTAAACAATATTGACGACACGGGCAACATAAAATTCACTTATGAGTCAGAAACAGAAGGCAGCGTAGCATTTATGGATATGAAAATCACCAGGCAGACCGACGGGACCCTAAACATAAACACATACAGGAAACCAACACACACAGACCAATATCTATCATGGACATCAGAACACCCCACCATACACAAAATGTCAGTAATCAGAACATTATATCACCGAGCAAACATGGTAACAGAAGAGAGAGACCGTAAACAAGAGGACAAACACATACAACACACTTTAAAGACCTGCGCATACCCGACATGGGCAATAAACAAAGGAAAACAACAAACAAAAACAGAAAGCAAAGAACAACCCAAAAAAGAACCAGAAACCCAGAAAGACAAGAACCAAAACCAGTGATAACCCTACCATACATCAGAGGCATAACGGAAAAAATAAGAGCAGCAATGAAAAAACACAACATAAACACAACAACAAAGCCATACACAACAGTTAGAAACAGACTAGTACACCCAAAAGACAAAATATCAGCTGGACAAAAATGTGGAGTCATCTACGAAATCCCATGCAAAATATGCAATAAAACATACGTAGGAGAAACCGGACGCCAACTCAATACACGGACAATAGAACACAGAAAGGAGTGCGAGAAAGAGGCAAATCGTAAACACACAAGAGCAGCAAAAGAAGAAGCAGAAAGCACAATAAAAAAGTCAGCCGTAACAGATCACTGCTTAAGAGAAAACCATATAATGGACTGGGACAGCACACGGATCATAACCACCGAACAACAAAAATACAAAAGATGGATCAAGGAAGCAATAGAGATAAGGAGACGTGGATGTGGGACCATGAACAGGGACGACGGAGTTTACACGCTGGACCACGCATGGGACTGCATCGTCGGAGAGGGGAGAGCGGGCAGTAGAGGGCGACAACGTCCTCTGCTGCCCGCAGATAAACGGAGAAGGAAGTGACGCGCCACCATCAGCGTCAGCCTGAAGAAGCCGGCAGCTGTCGGCGAAACCGTAGCTACAAACAGGTAAACAAAACTGTTTCTGTGTTTAAAAAAGAACGAAAGCATGGATTTACAAAGACACAGCAAGAACACACCTAAGATGTTTAAGACCCAGTCCGCAGACTGCTTCATCAGTGTGCCACAGGTGAACTGTCTGGTCTCCAAACCAGAAAACGTACTGCTCATGACCTCGCCACGGAGAGGGACGCCATAATAAAAGTCCTAATCGGTTCTGCAGTCGCAAGACTCCAAGAAAAAGAACTTTTGTCACTTTACAGGTTAATTACAATCACCTAGAACGATGAATGCTTCATCTAAAGAGATTTAATAACGTCTTGATTGCTTTACAGTAATAATGAATCAAAAGTAACTATTTATTGTTAAAATGCATGATTTCAGATCTGAATACTTGATGATGTAATACTGATTTTATTACCAGTTATGACACAGTTTATTATCAGTATATTAACAATAACAGTTATATTTAGATGTCACGTCGAGTGAAATAGCCCTTTAGGGAGTTTCTTAGGAAAAGATGTGACGTCTGAGGATTCTTTGTTAGGCCCCTCCTACATTTCCTGGCCTCTGATTGGTTCATCTTCAACAGACCCTTAAATAGTCACTTCTTCTGTAATCAAGTTCCTGCTAAATGCTGAATGAGAACTTCTTGGGAGAATCAGCTGATCTCACAGCAGAATACTCTAGCGGCGTAGAAGCACCCTTTGTTTTTTTTATTGAACCTGTTTTAACCCTAACTGCTCCATCAGCCGCCCGCCGTCACCCAGGAGAGTATCTCTTGACCACTTGATGCGGATTTGGAGGTTTCTGACCTTTGAGATTGTAGCGTGATTACGGATTGAACTTGATAATTGATACTACATATTAATTATGACCAATAAGATGTGATGTTCCATATAAATATGAACTATCAACCTGATGGATCTTTCAATGTTTAATCAGAAGATTCTAGGGTTCTTTGCTTCTTCAGGGATCATAAACACACTTCGTATTATTTCAGTCAGTATGTGGTTAATAAAATGAATTTCATTATTTTTACTGAACTAATGATACATGACAGATATGAATAATGAGATGTGATGTGATGGAAGCTAGACGTTAATCAGAATCATTGTATCTGAGAGAAACTGTGAAATGTGGCTGTAAAAGAATTGGTTGTTTATTTATAAACAGCATCAGACGCAATCTGTCGTGCCAAGTCTACGCACCCTTGGTGTGGAGGTTCTCGTTCGATTCGGGGGGTCGACGGTCACTGCCGGTGGAGTGAACTCTGATATCAGGAATCTGTAGACAGCTCCGATAGGACCCGTCCAGTCTGAGATCCCTCCGGTGAAGGCAGGAAGCTGGAATGTTTGGCTCTTAGAGAGCCGGTTGTCTGGTGTCAGCCGCAGCGTTGCAGAGAGGCTTTGTCAGGAGGTCAAAGGAGACGATGGTTTCAAAAAGGCTTCTTTCCTGATTTGGCCGAATTGGAAGTCAGCTGGAAACTGAATTAATTGGGAAGTAGTTCTTGTTTTATTGAACCCCAAAGTTATGAGTTCTGGCCAAGTTTGGACAATCAGAATTTGACACGTTTCTGAGTATTTAATCTTAATATTTATCTTTATGTTTTATGTTAATTATATGCTCTATATTTTGTGTTTGATTTTGATTGTGTTGTGATTTGGACACTAGAGGACGAGGACTAAGAGGGGACACTAGAGGACGAGCACTAAGAGGGGACACTAGAGGAGGACGACTAAGAGGGGACACTAGAGGACGAGGACTAAGAGGGGACACTAGAGGAGGACGACTAAGAGGGGACACTAGAGGAGGACGACTAAGAGGGGACACTAGAGGAGGACGACCACGAGGGGACACTAGAGGACGAGGACTAAGAGGGGACACTAGAGGAGGACGACTAAGAGGGGACACTAGAG